TATATATGTAACTATTTTAAATTATTAATAAAGATATAAGCAAGGCCTCACCTTAATACCAAAAAAAAAAAAAAATTGAAACAAATGATCATCTTACCACATTTGACTATATCCATGTTAAGGATGAAGAAGTTAACGAAGGTCTTACTGAAGAAGAGATCTTGGAAATTATTGAAAATGAAAATAAGGAGAAGAAAAAGGAGAAACAAAGAGAGAATTCTGTTGAAGAAGTAAAAATTAGCTATATGGAGGCAGAAAAATATGTAAACCAAACTTTAAGATTTTTATATGAACAGGATGCAGAATTCGGAGAAGTTGAAGAGGAAGTAAAGGTTTTACGAAAGTTGCACAAAAGAGTTAAATTGAATATTATAAAAAACCTTAAACAGACAGATATCAACTCTTTCTTAAATGCTGAATAAAGTAAATTTTTTTTATTAAAATAGAAAAAAAATTTAAATTTGCATGTAACTATATTTGTACACTGCTTGGAACTTGTATTTCGCATTAAAATTAAAGGAGTCAAAAAATTGTAACGATGTTTTAGTCACGTGAAATTATTTTATTAGTCAGCTCTATATACTGAACAGTTCGATATAAAGAGAGCAAACCATATACTGAACTCATTCTATACTGAACAAAACTCTCCAGACTCTGCAATTTGGTATATCCAGAGTCGACTGTAATAGTTAAACTAAAAACAACAAAATACAAAAAACTCTAAATAATAATAATCTAAAACAAAAAGATAAACAAAATGAAAATGAAAATGAAATTATACAAAAACATGATACAACAAACAACTTTGACTGGTTCTTGAATTATTTTATTACTCTTGAAATGCAACAACATAACAAATTAAGCACACCTTTAGTCTTAAAAGTTTTCTCACTCCTAAAATCATATCTTGTAAATTTTAATCTTAAACAAGAAATTCCTACTGATCCAACTGATTCAAAATCTAGCAATAGACCTTCTGCTAAATACTCATTTAACTATATACTCAACAAAATAGCTAATAGCAAACCTAAATTTTTAACAGACTTTATTCTTGAAGCTAATCCTAAGTTTGATTAATCAAACACCATTTCTTTCAAAGTTTTAGTTGAAACCCTTAAAGGCTTAGTTGCAAAATTTATAACAGTAGTTTTTACTCAATTGAACTATATACATATTTTTCGATTACATTATTCTATTCCATCATATTCAATAAACAATAAAAAAAAGTTGCCATTAACATGGCTTGTCTATACTTATATCTAAATCATACTTACAAAACTATTAACTTCAAAAAATTCATAAAAAAACTTGACATCAAATCTCTACACTTTACCTTAAATTTTGATATAGATTATACTACAGATAAGCTATTATTTGATATCCAAAATGACAATAGATTTAATATTAAAGTTACATTAAACATTTCTGTCAAAAAATTTGAAGATAACATCAAAATTCCCTCACTTAAACCCTATACCCAAATTTATGAAACCTGGTTTCAAAAATTTTTTGATAAATACAAAATTCAATTTGAAAAAATTGATCAACAAAAAACAAGCAACTACATCAAAATGCTAATATCTTAAAAGCTTGTTGAAGACTGCAAGAAACTTTTACCAGAAACTTACTTTCTCCCAAATACCTTATCTTCACTTCAAGAATGCTCTAAAGCTACCTTCAAAGCAGCACTTCATTACTTTTATAAATGTCATAGCAAATCATGCAACTTACTTTTAAATAATACAGAACACAAGCTCAAAAACATTTTCTAATATTACTTCTCTCAATCATTCAAATCTCATCCAGTACTAGAATTTAATTCAAAGAATAGAAATACCCTTTTTTAAAAACCAAATTATTCTAACTTAATTAACAACTAGCAGTAACTTTCTTAAAACCAACACCTATAACTGAATTAAGAAAATTAGCTACATCTACTGAGAAAAGTTTAATATCACTTAACAATGTTAATAGTGAAGTAGCTTGAACAATATACTATTTCTACTAATATCTAAAAAAATATTAACAAACAGCAGCTGAAAATAATGGAATTCAAGAGTTATCAAAAAAGAAAGTTCTTGAAAAAATTATTAACTCTACTAATAATACATATACCCTAGCTCACATAATCACCTATTATAAAATTCGATCTTAATTCAAAGTTTCTCTTAAACAAACTAGAATTAACTATGACAAAACTTACTACTCAGAAGCAGAAAATTTTATAATAAAACATCTTAATATCTCTATTTCTATTCAATACAATGATATGCTCTTTATGCAAAACCAAAACAAACCTGAAGCTGAAAAAAAATCCAACTCTAATTACTACTTAGAATAATAATCTTGACAATTTCATTTCTCAAAAAAAAACAGTCAACAACTTCACACAAGACTAAAAAACTTCTTTTCAATAAGTTTTTCTACAGAAAACATTAAAACAATTGCCACTTCTAAGATTATGATGTCCTTCACTATTAGTGGACCATTCTTAGAAGAGAATGATGACAGTAGGCAGGCAGTAAAGCCTACTATAATAAAGAACCAGAATTATAATGACCAGACCTAATGTACAAGACAGGTTATGATATCCTCCACAGCTATGCAAGCCAAGCTTAAAATGGTGAGTAAATCTGTAAAAGATATTACAAATACTATCTCTACTTTTAATGCTTCAACCTCTACAGAGATAGACAAATGCTATAACAAATTTATAAAATACTACAACTTATCTTAAATACTGGAACCAGTTATACTTGACAATTTTATTTAACACTTACATGACAATCTTTATCTCAGTTCAATAAAAATATCTATAAACTCTAACAAAACAAAAACACATATTTACTTAAATGATATAAATCAAATATTATCAAACTATATTACAATAGATCCTTTTCTTTATAAAACATACGGTCACCTAACTTTACTAGTTATTCTCAACTGAAAAATATCTAATACAAATTCCATCTCCTTTTCTATATCTGATCAATTACCTAATCCAAACACTTTTATACTATTCTTAGCCACCTTATCATTAACTTCATCTAAACATACTTCTCTTTTAATTAAAATTGGTTCGATAAATATTAATGGACTCTTATAAGCAAATAAAAAACTTGCTTTAACTGAACTCTTACAAGAAGAAAATTTTGAAAATTTTGGACTTTCTGAAACACATCTATCATTTAAAGAAGACAAATTCTTAAACAATCAAATTTAAAACTATGTTAGTTTTTGAAACTCATATACAAATCTTCATCAAGCTGGAGTTGAAATTTTTGTTCATCAAAAAATCTCCAAATATATCACCAAGTCTTATAATTTCAATAGACATATAATTGGTTTTGATTTTCACTTCAAAAATATGTCAATTAGGCTTATTCAAATATATTTTTCAACTTATGAGAAAAAACAACTTTGCAAAGAAGTTCAAGATTATTTAATTTCTCTTACTCAAAATAACAAATACAAATTAATTATTATAGGATAGAGGCCTGCGTTGGGTCCCGCAGCCTGGCCCGGCCTGCAAATTTTTGCGGGCCGGGCCAGGCCTGAAGCAAAATTTTATAATTGCGGGCCGGGCCGGGCCGAAAAATTTGCAAAATTTTATTATTGTGGGCCAGTGCGGGCCTAAAAATTTGTAAAATTATATAAGAAATTTTTGTGGGCCGGGCCAGGCTGAAGAAAAAATTTGATATATGCGGGCCGGGCCAGGCTGAAAAATTTGCAAAATTTTATTATTGCGGGCCAGTGCGGGCCTAAAAATTTGTAAAATTATATAAGAAATTTTTGCGGGCTGGGCCGGGCTGAAGAAAAAATTTGATATATGCGGGCCGGGCTGGGCCGGCAAAAAAATGGTAACCCTAAATGCGGGCCAGGCCGGGCTTAAAAAAAATTTTTAACCCTAATTGCGGGCCAGGATGGGCCTCAAAAATAGGCAATTTGCAGGCCCCTATTATAGGAGACTTAAACAGTATACCAAATCCAAGAATTAACAGATTGCCTTCAAAAAAATCATTAATCCCTGAAAGCCAAATCATTCAATACTTAATTAGTTTTCAATTTAAAGATATCTTCTGAGTTTTTTATCCAAACACTTATAATTTTACTTTCAGTCGTAACAATATACAAAGCCGAATTGATCAAATTTGGACCAACTTATCTATTTCTAATATTGATTATACAGAAATTCTTACATCTGACATAATCGAATCAGATCACCACATTATAACTTTAGAAATTTCTATTATAATTAATAAACCTAAACCTCATAAACAACACAAACACAAAGTCTTCCTCTGGAAAAATTGCACTAAAGAAAATTTTGAAAACTACAATGACCAAACAACTAAAAATCTTCAACACCTAGGTCCTAAAATCCTATTAATTTCAAATCAAAATCAACTTAATACTATGTGGAATAAAATTCACAAAGCATTAATTAAAGTGTCAACCAAACACATTTCTTTTAAAAAAATTAAAACAATCAAAGAAATCAAAGACTCACCTTCATTAAAACACTCTC